GTACATGCTGACAACATCAGAAACTCGTTCCATCCACTTGAACAGACCTTTTAGTTCTTAAAAAACGTTAAATATTTTCCCACGCCCTTATTGTTGGCATTACTGTCGATGCTATTATTATTGTTATTATCACTGATTACTTTGATTATTACTGCTATAATTATTATAGTTATTGCTGTAGTTATTATTATTTTCATTATTTTTTCATTATTAATTATTATTATGTCTATTTTTGCTATTATAATTTCACTGTCATTATCATCGTAACTGTTTCTGTTATTCAATCTATATTAATCAAGAGGGCAATTGCTCCTACCTTCCTCTCTTCCCCTTCTTCTGCTTCGCTGAATCCCATAGCATAGAAGAAAACAGGAGAGATTCCAGAAATAAAATGAAGCATGCTAAATGTAATTAAGTCAAACTGTTGATGGGGGAATGACCAAAAATTGGATGTGTATGTGAGATGTTGAATGGGAGGGGTAAGAATTGGGGTTTTTTTAAGGAAATTGATGAGAATGGAGGTAATGATTAATCCGTAATTGTGGCAACTAGTAGTGACCAGCGGTAGAAGGACACCAGCGGTCCAGTCATCAGGCGGTGTAGCAGCGGGCAAAGCAATTATGCCAACTGTATATTATAATTACTATTACTTTTTCGCAGCAAAGGCCACCAAGGTTGCCTGGAGAGTCAGCGTAAAGACTTAATTCTAGTAGTGCTACTGGAATAACTGGCGTGCCGGCTGCAGAAGCTGCATATTTTTCTATTTCAAACTGAAAACCTCCAGTTAGTACCACAGCTCGCACTATTTATGCATGCCACTTCTTCGGAATACAACCAAATGCTTCATTTTCCATCTCATAAGGACCAATTACTTATATGTGGCAAGAACCATTTCTCAATAAAAGAAGTCAAATGATCCAATCGTCAAGCTTTGCTTTCCCGCGTGGCCGCATGTCTTCCATACCACATATATATCAAAACGCTACCCAATTACCATGAAAATTTGGCATTTTAATGCGCTCACAATACATTGTCATTCAAACAAAAGTTCTTTCTTAAAGATCTTTTTAAATGTACTGTGACTGCAAAAATTCTTTTTAAATACACTATTTATGAAAAAAAAAAGCGCACCGACGTCACCCCAGTTTATGGGCTCTCTCGGTGCAGCTTCATTCAGTAGTTGTAAACGAGTTAAATCAATTCCTTTCATTTTCAGCACATCCAATGGATCGACACCATTATGCTTTGATTTTGACATCTTTTCGAATTGCGTGACCACTGCAGCGCCATCGGTTTTAACGATGAAGCCGTTACCTGCAATCCTGTGATATCAACACATGTGAGTAAAATAGAATAAAGAATCGTGATAAAAAATCACAATCAAAAATTGCTACAAGAACTTTTGTCACGAGATTTTCAGCAATTTTATTAACCTATAAAATTTTCAAAAAAAAAAAAAAATTGATGGTCATCCGATGTCCTAGAACGGTCACTCAAGCGGCACTGCGAATGCAATAAGTCTATCATTTTTGTGGAACAAAGACTAAAGGGAGTACGAAAATGAAAGTGTGGGTTATAACAAGCAAAGTGATTTCCCGATGATGCAGATTCGGTTAAAACAGCCGTGAAAAACTAGCCAGCTTTGCTTAAATCAGAAAAGTGCCAGAAAAAAACTGACTGTAAGATTGCAAAAATTAAAGCTTTTGGTTACTTGAACGAGTCATGGCATTAAAACCCCGGAAAAATTAAAAATAAATTCAGACGGAGCCAGCTTTGGGAAGACGATTCGTCGATTCCTGAAAATACCAGCTGCACAAAGCAAATGACTGTAAATGGAGGCGAACCAGTCTGCACAACATCATCCTCAACGAGATATTTGCCCGTGTCCTTCCTTCGAAAAGTTCGACCGCAAACGATGCCTTGTGGTAAAAGCCGATGGAATGGTTCAAGCACCGTTGTCATTCCAATATCATGTAGAAAATAAGAGATGAATCGAGCAAAGAATAAGTGCAGCGCAGCTAAAAATACATTCTGGCATTACAGTGACAAAAAAAACGCTCTAGAAAAACAGAAATTATTAAAAACACAATGGAAAAACTCAAAAGGCATTCGTAGATTTTCGACTAACTAGAGGACCACCGGGACTGCGCTGATTCAAGTTTTATTTGGGCTATCAAGCTGCAGTCAGTTCCTTGATGAGCTGAACGAACGAGCACTGCTAGGTTTCGTAAAAACACGATTTCACGATTTTGTAAAAAAAAAACATGGAAAAACCATTAAAAAACATAATCTCCAAGGGAAAAGTTCTTACCATGTTCAACTCCGCCAACATAAATATCGACCGGCATGTCCACAGCTTTTTCTTTTGAGATCAACTCAGCATTGTTGCATGGGTCAAGATACCTGGAAATATCACTTAAGGACATTTACACTTTATCCCAGTCGATAGAAACACCATGTAAAGTTTTGAGAAATTTTTTTTTTGGAGTTAAATATGGCATTGAAAAGCTGCAGAAGGCATCTACTTGTAGCAAAAAAATAAGTAGTATAGCAAACCTTAAATAATACCAACTGGAATCAAAAAATGTATCCAACGTATCTTTTTCCCAGTATCCAAATCCACCAGGCAACCTAGAAGGATAAACATATTCGATAACAATAATAATAAAACAGCAAAATTCCACAATAATTCATTCGCTGTGAGAGGCGAAGGCATTCCGAAGTAGCTCGAGTAGTAGCACATGCCAACAGCAACCATCGCAATTCTCAGAAGGCTGTCGATGGCTCTCTATACCAAGAGCTGCCAAAAAACAAACTGATGGTGGTCCTCATGTGTCAGAGTACCGACTTATCATCGAAATGTCTGGCGGTATAGTTATAGAAAATTTTAGAGACATAAACAGTGAATATCCGTGAACAGGGCATTGGAGGAAAACAGAGGGCTTAAAACCTTCTTTGTATAAAAGTATGCAGTTGGTTTAGCATTGCTAGCTCTCTGCGGAGAGAAACACATAGTCTAAAATTGATAATTTAATGAAAACACTCAGAAACCATTGGCCGCCCGCAACACACTGGCGCTTCTTACAGCTGCGTTATGCTTACCAATGCCTTAAATAATATCCCGGTTTAATCACAGCGGTTTTCTTATATAAATCAACATTCTGTTTTTGGATGGAAAAAAAAACCCAAAAGCTTATCCGTGACGTATTTCACACGTCACAGAATTAATGACATCGCAGAAATTACCTTTCACATGGAATTTTCTCATCATATTTACACTGCGAAGAAATGACAGGTAGCTGGTGATCGCCCACCACAACAGCGCTTTGGTCATCGGCCCCCAAAAGCACCGGTATTGGAGTTCCCCATTTTCGCTGTCTCGAGACAACCCAATCCAGCAACCGGTCACTTGTCTCATAACCACCGTAATTTCCAAACTACAATATTAACTTATTTACCCATGCGTTGACAATCTATTTGTTTCAGCTAAATCGATTTCACAAAAATGCTATTTTTTTAGCTTATAATGAATAATTCCAAGG